GAGCACAAAGAGAGCTGCCTTCTGATATTCATTATTAGTATTAAAATTTATAGTTTATGTTACCTATCTGTAGCATTTTAATACTGGTAGTGAGTATCAAGACACAATCAAGCTTGGAGGGTTGCAACGGAAAAATTTTTTAAAAAATTTAAATAAAAGGCTCGAAAATATCTTTTTTCTCTTGAATTAATACTTTATTGCCAATTCATGACCAATTTTCAGACACATGCAAAAAAAAAACATCTAGCGCGTCTAGCAACACTAATTTCAAGCCCCAAACACCATGACGCACACAAGCTAAGATCTTTTCGCCCCTGATGGAAATATTTTGCTGAAAGTACTATGATATCAATAAAAAGTAAAATAAAAGTTTTTGAAAAATTACTGAATATATTTAAAAATAAATCATAATTTTCCGTATGAAAATTTAATGTGTGTAATACTATGAAATATAAGGAAAGTTAAAATATATTGCTGAAAAGTAATAAAAGAGTTTTGAAATAATTATCATTATAAAATTTACTGAATTAAACTGAAAACTGTTACTTTAATGAAAAATTGCTGAAATATTTATGAAATTAATTAATGGGGTCAATTGAAAGAAATTTTCAAATACATAGCAAAATTTCGTTATATTTTCAGAAAAATATTTTTATCAGAGACGTCCGTGTGCGCTCGATTATCACTAAAGATTTATGTTGACCGGTGATAAAAGCTAAAAAACCGATAAAAGCGATGCAAAAGGCTAATCAAATTTAACTTCCTTTGATATATTTACAATAAACTTGTGATAACAGTATAGTCTTAATCGTTATCTGAAATAAACCGTTTCCAAAAATAAGTAATTCAAAAAAAAAATTTTTATTATATTTTCAAATGTTGTAAAAAATGTCAATATTCTGTACATCCTATTAATACTCAAATGATATAAATTTGGGGAGTTTTAACATTTATACAATGACTTGAAGAAGTATTTATAAAAATTTCTTGAATATATGCAAATGACGATAGAAACTTTTGATTATATTTTATCCATGATTTTTTATACGAGAAACAAAATTTAAAAAAACTTTAATTAAATCATTTAGATATTATACCCAGTAAACATTAGATATCCTATTTAATTATCTTTAATTATAAGACTTTAATTAAGTCATTTAGATGTTATACCCAGTAAACATTCGATATCCTATGTATATATAAAGTCTTATAATTAAAGATAATTAAATAGGATATATTATGTTTACTGGGTATAACATCTAAATGACTTAATTAAAGTCTTTAGATTTCAACATATTCTTTATTCTAGTGCAGTGATATAAGTTATAAAAATGATAAGAGCGATGAAAGTAAGTTAATCATATTTATTTTTTTTTATGTGTTTATAATGATTAACTTATTTTTACCGCTCTTATCGTTTTTATAACTTATATCACTGCACATATCCTATTAAATAATTGTCTTTAATTAATAAGACTTTATAAGACTTTAATTATAAGTCTTTATGAATACATAGGATATCGAATGTTTACTGGATATAAATGACTTAATTAAAGTCTTTAGATTTCAACATAATGTTTAT